TAATTTTAATGAATTCTCAATAAACAATTAAAATTTAATAATTTATTATATTAAAATATTAATTGTATTAATCAAAATCATTGTTACGTTTCGATTCAATTTTTAAATAAAGTAAAATTACATAAAAATAAGAATGGATTCAAAAGTCAACAGATTTTAAAAAATCGAATTTTGGACTATAAAAGAAAAAATTATGAACTCAAAACAGTCATTCATTGCGATATTTATAATATGCGGGGAGAGATCGTGGTAAAATATAATATATAATGTGTGTGAGAGCGAGATAATTTAATTTGCCACGGTCGTTGACAACTTTTTGTGTGGCGTGTGAACAAAATGTTTAAATGTGTGTTGTATGATAAAAAAAGAGAACTCGATTTTCTTCCGAAATAATTTATTTTATCAACAAAAATATAAATGATTTGTTTTTATTCATTGGTTGTTCTTTGGTTTCATTGGTTTTTTATTAATTTCTAAAATTGCAAAACAACAAAAACAAAAATAGAAATTAACGTGTTTTAACTTCCCAAAACTGCAGAGCAGGGTTTTTCTTTTTTAAAATACGTGTAAATATTGTTTTTTCCTTTAAAAGTTTCTAATAAATTCCCCAACTAGTTTATGGATCCTAACCAGTTTATAGACCCCCTATAATTTGATTTTTTCAATATGAATTGTTGTGATGTGACCATGGTCCAAAACAATATTTTCAACTTCAATACCAATAAGTTTATCGACGTTGTAATTATCCAAAATCAAGCATTTTATTAAATTTAAAATATGTTTTTATTAGTGGTCGATATTCAAAACAATTTTAATAACAAATTTGTTCAAATCCTTAAATGTAAAATCTATTGATCACAATTTATTTTTTTTTCAAAGGTTCCCAAATCACTTTTGTTTTAACATGATAAATCTAAATTATTGGAAACGTCATAAAAAAGATTTTTTGTTTTTATAATGAAATTTGAAGTTAAATGTCACTTCTCCTATTTTTTCAATTCCTTTTAAAAACAATTATAGTTAAAAATTTAACACGTAATTTATACACAACTTCCATACCAACTTATACAAAAGGTTTATGTACTTTATTTTTTAATGTTACTTTACAACTTTTGTCACAATTATATTTCTTAACATTCTAACACTCAAATTAATTTAAATTTACATTGTGATTTATAATTACAATTTCCTCTATTTTAGACCCACTCATCACCGCGCCCCCTACAATTGTTATCACCACATATTTCATTGTTGTTGGAAGTATTATTTTGTTAAAGTTTACATATTCCAACACAACTTTCTCAATATTAATTGGCTTTTTCATATGTGTCAAATCACAGATAATAACTAAGTTGTCTTAAAATATTTTTTAACATCCTCGGTAACATATAATTTTGTTGGAAGTCTAATTTCCAATAATTTAAAAAGGTCGTATATTCCAATCATTTATTATACACTTTTGCTACTACTTTTTGGGAGCTCTCTACACTTAAGGTAGGAATATAACTTATGCTCCCCTTTCGAATAATTGAATTGAAAACGATATCTGTAATGTATGAAATATAAAATTAAACATTTTCAGGGAGTGTAGAGAGCTCGTAATGTTTTCTAAAAACAACTTGGGTTGGCTGTACACGAAAAATTAAATTTTAAATTGCGTTTTGGATATTTAGAAAATTGAATTGTGTGAATAACAGTGTTGTTGATAAATTTGTTAACAATAAGACATTTTTAAAACTTAGGTGGCTCAAAATATCGAGAAAATAGGTTGAGTCGGTTGTTGTGTTGTAAAACTTTATTGAAATGGTTTTGAGTTAAACAAATTAACTCAAGTTTTTTGCAAATGTTTGTATATCATTTTTGAATATTCGAATATAACTAACGTGCTCAAAAAACCATACTGTTCTGAATAGAACGGTTATTGTTTCTGATGGGCACTTAACTTTTGAATTAAAAGTCTTTCGTCTGTATTCATTCAAAAAAGTGGCAAAAGTTTCCAAGAAACTCATGTCATTTTTAATTCATTGGGAAGATACATTGTTTTTAATTTTAAGAAGACTAAATGGGTTGATGTTCAAACTTTTTGTGACATTATTAGTGAAATGGTTAAAACAAACAAAATTGTATATATATGAAAAAGTTGGAAAGTATAAAAGTACATTTCTCAGTTAAAATAATTCAAGACGGCTGAGTATTTTTTGCATAATTTTTAATTTAAGTTTACTGTTATCATTTTTTGTAAATAGCTTGTTATTTATCATAATTGATGGTTCATCATCGAATTTAAAACGGAATATTAACAAATTACTTGGGTTATAAAACAATTATTTCAATGTTAAAAAAAATAATGTTTATATTATCAAATATATATATACAGTTTTTGAAATAATAAATTTTTTTATTTTATATATTTCGAATTCAATAACACAGAATTAACCTGTGTTTAAGACAAGAAAAATAATAATTATAAAATAAATATGTTACTCATTTTTCATGTAAACGTGACCTTTTTCTTATTTTTTTAAACCAGGCAGTGTAAAAAAGTTCTAGTAAATATTTTAAGTAATTTTTTAAATTAAAAGTTTACAAAAACTGGCATTTATGTCGATTTTTTGGCTAATATGTTAACGACCGTCGTAAAGGATTTAAACACTTAAAATAAAGTTTTTATTCCACGAGTTAGCAAAGAAAAAATAACCAATGATAACACAAATAGAAAATAATTGGTCAATCACTTTAACAATTTTTATTGTTGTTTCTCATTTAATTTATTATAATTTAAAATATATATATATAAAGTCGAATTTTTAATTAACGATGGAGAAAACTAACTATACAGTTAACGGAAAAAGTGGGATGCTGAGAAAAAGGGGGATGCTACTCCAAAAATAAAAATTATTTGGTTTTTTTCGATTTTTAAATTATTTTTATTAAAGTTTTTATTATTATTTGTAGTTAAATTAAAAATAACAATGGAATTTGGGATGCAGCGCTTCAAATAAAATAAAAAATTAATTATAATTATTATTATATTGATACAAAACAATAAATAAAGTTAGAACTAAAAACTAAAAAAACAACATGGAAAAACAACAGACCAACCCTTTCTCGTTGGGAAACGAGGATGTAAGAATATTGGCACCAATTAAACTTGGTGAAATGTTAACACCGCATTTTATTGAAGAAAACATACAACTATTCCAATCTATCGTTGACAAGAAAACTTATAAAGAACTCAAACCTGGTTATAGTATTGAACAAATTGAAACATTTTTGATTACTTATGAAAGTTCTATGCCAATTAATACTACAAAAGATTTTTCCGAAAAACCCAGAAAACTCTACGAAAGATTGAAAAACGATGTCGAGTTATTAATTAAAATGAAAGATTCCACATTACGACTACAATTTGGTTTAATTTATTCTAAATATAAATTTCATGATGAGTGCACTCACAGATCATTAGCAGTTTTATTTAATATAAACCTTGGCATAATATCCAAACAAATTTCATATTATAATAAAGAGTTGATTGATGGTAGGAATTATATCTGAAGACATTCTTTGATAACTCCACTAAGTGAAATCGTTTTTTCATCGTTTTATAAGTTTTGTTCAACTCAGAATTTGGCAATTACACTAAAATCGTTTGCGTTGATATTAGAAAAAACACAATCAAAGAAGGTTGAAAATGACACATTAAGAAAGTGGTTAATGGTTCATTTGAATTTAAAATACGTTAATGGAATTCCTGAAGATATGGGTAGACTGCGAATTGATCCTTCAAATGTAATCACCAACTATCTGGATCTCTCCAAATTCAACGGCATTCCAATACAACTAGTATTCAATATCGACGAAATTGGTTTTGAAGACCGTGCCGATAGAAAAAACATTAAAGTGTTTGTACCTTCAAATGTAAATGTAAATAAAGTCAAAATTGGTTACAATAGAGGAAGGAAACGCACGACCTTGTTATGTATGATATCTATGGCAGGAGAAGTTCATTGTCCAGGAGCAGTGGTTGGATTGAAAAATTTACCCATTGAAATGTTCAAACACAATTGTGACTTGACCTTTTATTTTTCGGAAACTGGTTTCGCAACAAAAAACATCTTTACAACCTGGTTTGTGGAAAAGGTTGTACCGACCATTAACTCAATCAAAGTGAAGTATGGTTTTGATATTAACACACCCTCCCTTGTGACTATGGATGGGTTTAGCGGGCACGATATTGAAGTATTGAGGGAAATATGCGCCAAGAATAACATCCACATCCACATGTATGTTCCTCATACTTCGCATTTAGTTCAACCACTAGACCTATGTCTATTCGGATGCGTCAAGAAGACAAAGACAAATACCACACCACTTTTTGCCACACAAATTAGTGTAAATCAGCAACCCCGTGGTAATAGTGTTTTTTCCGTTTCAAGTGATTGTCATATCGGTGAAAATGACAGATTCAAAGGAGCAATGGAAGATTTAATTAAAGAAATAGCCAATTTTACTAACACTTCCACTGATGCACTGAAAAAAAGAAAAAAGAGCTAAAAACGGAGAGTCTTTTATAAGAAGTATGGCAGAAATCATGAACTCTATTGATCTCTCCTCTTTTCATAAGAATGTCATTTTATCATTCGAACGAGGAGGAATGGTTTCTAGGTTTGTGGACGGTAAATGGAGGTTCTATGATGACATACAAAGTGCCGAAAGATTTATTAAAGAATACAAAACTTACATCACAAATAATGTATTTATCAGAAAGGAGTTAATGGTCAAATTAACTGCACCAAACAACACCAAAGAAAAGGTGTCCATAATGGAAACGTCATCATGTACCGACTATCGACCAGATGATCACTCGAAGTTATCTTATGTCAATTACTTTCTGTCTGGGATTACAGCTGATAATGTCTGTACTGTCGCTCATTTAAACATGCTTAGTTCACTGTCTGAAATGCTGTACTGTAATGTAATTAACATGGATGATGAATATCAAAGATACAAATCACTGCAACCAAATGAAACTACTATTAATTATCATGGTTTGAATTTGTCTTTGGAGGTCTCAGAAGAAGAGTTGTTGGAAATCGAAAGATATGAAAATTAATTTTATTGCTAGTTTATTTTAATTGTTGTTTTTTACAAAAAATCCTTTTTTGAAATAAAATGGTTTTGATACAATTTAGTATATTCAAATTGTGAACCTTCTATTTTGGTTTTAAAAATTAACCAATAGTTGTGAGCATCCTCCTTTTTCTAGCATCCCCTTATTTCCGCCTACTGTACATTTAATTTTTTAATTATAATCAATAGCTTTTTTTTCGAAATAATTATTTTTTTGTTTTATTTTTAAAATTATTAACTTTTTAACCATATTATACATCCAAAAAAAGAAATGTGGAATTTGTAATTCCTCCTCTCGAGTAATATTAACACAACCGGCAGACTATTTACAATAGTTGACCGCAGAAGTGTCTTTGTTGTGGTGTAGTTAATATAGTTAATTACAGAAGTTTCGTAGTTGTAAGGCGTTTAATAGGTGAAACCGATTGACTCGAAAAGCAAATAAAACGATTGACAACCAGCGTATCTTTGAGAATGTCAGATGGTAAAAATTAATAATAAATTTACTATTTATTTATGGTTTTTAATTGGCGATGGTCGATACTATATATTATAATATAAAAAAACTGATATAGTAAATTTCCTAGTTGTATTTTTGGAATGTCGTTGATTAGAAATCAGACTTTATATGGTTGATTTTTTTACAACTAATATATTTGCTTTAATAACATATAAATATATATATTATTATTATTATTATTATTAAAAACAAAAATTATTTATTAAACAATGTTGTTTACTCATATATGTAAGTTGATTCCTTTTGGACCTTACCTGGTGTGTAATTTCAAGAAGTAGTTTTAAAAATTCATTCGATAATTTCAATTTTTGGCATATTTTGAGTTTAAATTCAATCCTCATTTTATGTACACAAATACAGCCATTTAATTACTATCCGATATAGTTATTAGACAGGCTCTAAGTATTAATTTAATTATAACAATCAATTCTTTGTTTTTATTAAATGTAAAGAATTTTTATTTTTACTAATAATAAAATTGTTATTAAGAGTGAATTAGTTGATCAACTTTAAAATTGTGGATGATGTCGTCTTCCTCTTTCCCAACCTCCAAATCGACCAAAAGGTGGTGGTGGTGGGAAGCACATTTGACTGCATCCGAAAGGATTTTGTCCCATCATAGGAGGTGGAGGTGGGCAATACCCATAAAATGGTTGATAGAATGGTCTTCTACCAAATCCGCATCCCATTTGGTCATATCCAAATTGATGTAGTGGGCAACTCATAGGTGGTGGAGGTGGTCTGTTATACATTTGGTTCATCATATACCATTTCCACATTCTCTTCATTTGTCGTCTCTCTTTATCCATTGGACACTTCTCATGTTTTCTTTTACACTTGTCGTAGTCTTTATCACTTTCTTCGTCGACTTCTGAAGAAGAAGACTCGTCTTTCTCAGTTTCGTATTTGATGTACTCGTCAAGTAAAGTCTGTTGTTCTGAAGTCAGAGTCTTCTTAAACTCAGCGAAGTCTGTTTCAAGCTTCTTTTCATTTTCAATGCGCTGTTTCTCGGCTTCTCGCTTTTCCTTGCGGTATTTTTGGTGTTCACAATTCTCCATTTTGTTTTACTGAATTCGTTTATTTAAAAAGTTGTTTATATATTTGGCCAATCCGATTTCAGTCATAGTAATCCGTTTTTATTAAAAGTGCTCAACAGATTACTCATTTTTTGTTCTTTTTTTCAATTAAGACATTGATTTTTTGGTTTAAAATGAAATCATATTTTGACTTTTTTGAAGTTTAGAACTTAAAAATAACTCTAATATTCAAAATACAAATATTTAGTAGATAACCATTTAATACTCAAAATACAATATTTGATAATTATCACGTTGTCTTGCAGATTGTGGTAAAGGTGTGGAATTGTCGACATTTACTTTATTTATTGCAAAAATATCACGTTTTGTCAATGACTGCTTAAAATATACATCATAAAAAGGTTTCAAATAAAATGTTAAATTGAATATATATAATATGTTTTCATAAAAATACATACCGTATTATTTTAATGAAAATTTGTATTTTTTGAAAAAAATACAAATTCAAAAAAATAATTAAATATATATGATAATAATAACATATATATGTAATTATTCAAAGTTGTTGTTTTTAACAGTATTTGACAACATAAAAATACTAATTATTATGCCTTAAAAATGCCAAATTAAATATATACATAGTTAACAATTATTATTATTTAAAATATGAATACGTCATAAACCACACGATTTTGATGTTTTTGTACCAATATATAATATAATTATAAAATCATTATAATTTATTTCTTTATTTGCAACTTGTTGCACTCGTTCAGTACATTGTTTGATTCAATAATCTAGTGCTGATAGTTACAAAATGTGTATTATATTTGATTAACAAATCAAATATAATTTTTATTGTCAATGTTAAAACAAATTTTATACAATTTATATACATGGTTTTGATATGTCATTATGACTCATATCAAAATATTTAGTTTTTTAGTTCAATATAATATACAATATTAAACAACAAAATATATTGATTTTGAGAATACGACAAACAAAAAAACGATTATTATTTTATTACTGAAGTATCAACTTTATAATAAATAATCTAAATAATATTTGATTATTTAGCAAACATCACAAAAAACTCGATATTTTTATTTTATTAATAATATTACAATAATTCTATTTAATGTATTATATATTTAATTGTGTAATACTTGTGAATATAAATATGTAAAGTTATCGACAATTAAATGATTGCATCGATAATTATAATATTAAACGATTAAAGTTAAACAATGAACAAGTTTTAAATTCATATTTTTTAAAACACACACTTTATATTGTATATTAAAAATAAATAAAATACAAAACCATATTAAAACATTGTTTATTTTAAACTTTCAAACAATTTGATGGAAAGCTCTCTTGACAGCATTATTGCTCTTTGTAATGAAGCCAAGACCAAATTGAATGCTTACAACAATTATTACCCTTCTTAGCTCTAGCCCCAGACAAAAGCAAGCCATTAAAAGTTCGTTATAAAGCTGCTCAATCACTTTTTGACAAGGCTTCGGAGAATGTTGCACGTTGGGGAGCTTTCCAAAGTGCACTCAAAACTGTGAACAAGTTTCTCGTTGATCTTTCAAATCAATTTACTTCTGAATCGAGTCGAAGTGAAAACAAAGCAGATGAATACAACAAAGTGTATTCTCTCCTCAAAAGTGTAGAAAAAGAGAGATTTGCAGTTCAAATGCACGAGTTGAGTACGTCGAGCCAAACAAAGAAATCACCCAAGATTACAAACAAACAATTAGCATTACTTCTACCTCAATATATCAGTAAAGTCGCGCAACAAAAGATAGAGACGCGGAGTGGTCTTAAATTTGAGAAAGTAATTTTTGATGGTGAGAAAGACGACTTCTCGCCAAACACATCAGTTTTTGGAGAGAAAATCAATCAAATTGAGAATTTGTGTTACATAATACAGAGTGAGAATAACAACACTTTTGGTGGTGTCATTTGTAACCAAATTAATGTTGATCCGGACGAAGACTATTTCTTGAAAGACGACAAGGCCTTTGTGTTCAATTTAAACGGAGAACAATCAGACAGATATATAGAAGGAGGCGATATTATCAAATTTTCATGCGTTGTTGGATCTATTAAAAATGAAGACTATTTTTTGGGATGTGTGGATATGCTATTTGTCTTGGTAAAAAAGTAATAAAATTAAAGAGTGCCAATACGTCATCAACAAGATGCCTTATGGAAAGTTGTGTGGTGGTGACAACTTCAAGTTAAAGAATTTTGCTGTTTTCAAACTCGAATAAATTCGTTTTTAGCAAGTCGATTTTGGTTGTATTTGAACGTTGAATACACAGCATTACATTCTATTGTGATTTTTAATTAAAAAACTAAATAAATAAATTACAAATTCGTTGTTATAATAGTAAATTCAATATTAATCCAATTTGTTTTTTATAATTTATATTTATATCACAACATTTATATCAATTTCTGTTGATTTTTCAAAAAAAATGTAATTTCGTTTCGAAGTTGAATAAAACTTGTTTAAAACATAATTGATTTTTGAAATACACAATTCGCTTTAAATAAGCTCTTCATCCACATTATTAAAATATCACATAGATTAAACGATTATATTAATATTAGTATATATCATATTATTTGTATTTTTAAACCAAGTTCATATTACATTATAAATAAAAACATAAACAATTATTAAACATCAACGTATTTTTAATAAAAATGTAATGTCATCATATTAATATAATGTAATAATGATATCAAAGTTAAAGATATAGTCGGTTTGGGAAAGTTATTTATAATATTAAACTAATATATTTTTAAAGTCGTTATTAGAAGTAAATGTTCCAAACTTATAAGAAAAAATACAAAAATATACTTAATATGATTATTTAAAAACTAAATAACCAATAACACAATCTTTAACCTAAATAAAGATAAAATTAAATAACCAATCTTATTTTAACTTTTAAAAGTCAATAAATACAGTTGACTTAGTAATTTAATTGAACATAATTACAGGAAATTATTGCTAACAAACCAAAAGATAAGTTTAAAAGTCGTTTGGTAATCATTAAGTTGATAAACAGGTTATCTGAAATTCAATAACTCTTTTTTTTCGACTCTACCACACATTTTATTTCTTTGATTTACGTTGTTTTATAGTTTCAATCTTTTTTTGTTTGATTCATTTTTGTATTCGATCGTTTGAAGCGTGTTAGTTAACACTTTTTAAATATATCAACGTTTTTTTTGTTTATGTAGTGTACCAAATAAATGTTTTATTCGTTGATGTAAAAAGCGTTGTTTCAATGTTTTATGAGTGAATTGTTGACAATAGAATAAATTATTTTTTGTTTTTGCGTGTAAGTATTAGTTGTAAAAAAATCAACCATATAAAGTCTGATTTCTAATTAACGATATTCAAAAATACAACAAAAAAATTTACTATATCTGTTTTTTATATTATAATATATAGTATCGACCATCTCTAATTAAAACCATAAATACATAGTAATTTTCTTATTAATTTTTACCATCTGACATTCTCAAAGATACGCTGGTTGTCAATCGTTTTATTTGCTTTTCAAATTAATTGATATGACCTATTAAACACATCACAACAATGACACTTCTGTGATTAACTATAATAAATGGTCTGCAGGGTGTGTTAATATTACTCGGAAATTCATTAGAGAGGAATAACAAACTCGACATTTCTTGCTTTTCTCCTTTTTTGAATGTATATTATTGTTAAAAAGTAAAAAAATTTTAAAAATAAAACAAAAAATAATTATTTCTAAAAAAAAGCTATTGATTATAATTAAAAAAACTAAATGTATAGTTGATTTTTTCCATCGTTTATTAAAAATCCGAATTTATAATTGATAAAATAATATTACCAAAATAAATAAGGTTTTTATACAGACTTTATATATTAATTTTAATAACCCCATAATTTACAATTAATTGATATGTTCTACGTATATTAAAGTTTGAATCAAAATTTCAACTGTTACCAAATAACAATGTTATTATATGGACTTGTCATTTATTAACAGTGAGAATGATGTTTTAAAACGTTTTGTAATTTATCCTTTCACAAAAAACACAAAAACACACATTGTTTTTTTGCATTTGTTTTATTATCAGTTAATAATTATTAAACATTATTAAAATTAAAAAAAACATTATCAGTTACTTTATTATTAAAAAAATTATCACCATTGAAATAGTTTTAATAATTGTAACATTTTGCAAATAAAACCTTTAGTTGATAAAAGGCATACTTTTTGAATTGTGTTGGGTGTAATTGTCGTCAATCTTATTTCGAAATAGCCGAATTGTATCACATTGTATACAAATCAATGTTTTTTATGTTCGTTCTTGAAAAAAAATATATTTACTTTTGTAATACGAAAAAAAATGTGCTTGAATAATTAACAAACATGTTCAGTCCAATATTTTTGAATTTTAAATACAAAAACATGTTGTTTTAATAATTAAACGTTTCAAAAAACCAAAAAATAACAAAAAATTAAACTAATTACACAATTTTCAAATAAAAAACGTGTTTTATTAAAAACATTAACTATATTGATAGGTTGAATAATTAAAAAAAATCAGAAAAGATATTACTTTACATATTAAAACATTTGTAATTTATTAAAAACAACATTTTTTTAAAAAATATTTTATATTTTATAACGAACTTAAAAACTAAATAATATAGAATGAACAACGAAATTGCAAAAGTAGCATTGATTGGTCCTTCGGACGTTGGAAAAACGGTATTATTAAATAGCTTTTTTAAAGAAATTACATATGACACAAATCCAAGTAATGGTTGTTCTTATTGGGTTTGTTGTTTAAAACACAACACAAATAAAAATCATTTAATAACTAAAAGGAGAAAAAATTTTTAATTGATCGAAAATATGTTAAAGCTGAATTATGGGATACATGTTTGTCATTTTTTGTTCTATTAATATAGGAATAACAAAAAGCTGGAAATGACCGTTGCAAAAATTTCAACAAAATGTATTTTAGGTTTGTATTTAAAAGTAGTTGTTTAAATAAATGGCATTGAATTATAATACAGACTATAATTGTTTTTATTCCAAATTAGAAAATTAATAATTGAGACGATAAGTTGGTATAAAAAATTTAAAATTAACAAATAGAAATTTCAAAATAATCGTTTTCTTATTTTCTGTTGCAAGAAGAGATACTTTTAATTGGATCGTTGAAATGAGTAATTACATGAATGCTTTTCATGATGTATCGTCTATATATACTGTAAATAATACTTATATCATTTGTGGAACGAGAACAGATCTTGTTAAAAAACGTGAAGTATCTAAAAGTGAAGCAGAAGAGTTTTCACATAGTAAAGGTTATTTATATGTTGAAGTTGGACAAAATTTTGATTCTCTTAAAAATGTATTGGTTGAAGCTATCGGCAATTATTACATTGAAACCGAAACATTGACCAATAAGAATGTAACAAAAAAGGAACAATCACAGACTGGTGATAATAAATGTGTTCTTGTTTATTTTGTTTTTATATATATTATCACAAAAAGTAATTAAACTGTTAAATATAATGTATAGTTAGTATTTAAGAAAAAAATATAATTTTTATTTACATAAACATAATTTATATTCAATTGTAATATAAGATTATTTTAAAATATATTCTAATTAAAATATCAATATAAACTTAAACAAATTCAATGATAATAACAACAATTGTATTACTTTATTGATTTTTGAGTCAATTGTCAGAAAATTATACTTCATTATGAAGACTTTTAACTTATTATTTGTTTGATTTTTTTTATATAATAATTGCTTATATTATCACCCAGTATTTTTTATGTACTTTCTTGTTAGTTGATATAAACAATTGATATTTTCACATTTCCAAAACAAATTTGCAACTTAAACTTAATTTATGTATTTAAAATAAGTTATAAAAATTGATCAAGCTTAAAAGATATTTAACAAAAGTAACGCTATTGTTATTAATGGTTTTTAACTTTGAAGACAATGACCATAATTTGAATTTAGAGTAGAAAAAATAAAACACAAGAAGTATAATATTAAATGTTTTAACAAATTATTAGATCGATTAGCATTAATTTATTAACTTTATCAACGATTATCCACAAATTAAAAAAGTACTTACACATTACAAATAATATAGTACTTGTAATCGTAAATTAATAATATAAAAGATTATTTTAATTAAAAAATTAAAGTAGTAAAAACATGCACTAAAACTACAAAAACGTTTTATAAACAAAAATTGACCATCATTCAAAAAATAAAACTTTGATTTTCAAAGACAACATATTTATATACAATATGTGTGTCCAATATGTCTCAAACACTGAAAATGTTTAAATATTAATATTTTCTATTTCTTTAAAATTGATAGATTCCAATCATCAACAAATACAATTAAAATAAGTCAGTTATAAGTTTCGTTTATAAATTTACAAATAAAAAACGTGGGTAATCATGAAAAGTTATTCTTATTTAATTTTGAAAAATGGTAGTTGAAAATGATGTCAATACATGTGTTCTTTGTACCGATTTTTATGCTTTAGAATAATTAAAATCATTTCATAAAATAGAGTCAAATTTGACAACAAATTAGGATGCGCCTTTTTTGTTTTAAATAGTTTTTATGTAACTTTTGTTTATAAAAAGTGATTTTTGTTTAGAGTACACATATTTTTGTGTCAAAATAATTAAATTTATCAAATAATGATTAAATATCCGTGTATTTATCATGTCCTCATTTTTGTGGTTATTCGATTAATGGTTAGTTATAAATAGATTTTAAGTGTTGTTGTGTCTTTTGGCATAAAAATGTGTTTTTGTATTCAAATAAAATATCATAAAATCATTAATTATTGGTATGAAACAACAAAAATATAAAAACATGATATTAGTATTTATTAAATACGCATACAACCCTTTTATCATATTAAAACGAATATAATCTTGTTTTTAAACAAAAGATTAGTTGTTAAGTATGTCACAATACAAAATTTCCAATTTAGAAACACATCGTCATCATTTAACAAATTCACCTGTAATGTATTACAATCAAACAACTATTCCATATCAAAGTTGTTATATACAACCCCAATTGATAACATCTGA